AATGTAGGAACAGCTCGACAAGCGTGGACGCTGAAGTAAATAAACAGAAACCTTCCTTCTGGATCTGTACAATCTGAAAACACTTTATAGCTCCAGAAGCTTTAGTTTCAAAGGTTATTGAAAATCTGGGTTTTATGAAACCTAATGTTTGGAATTTGACGGTGACTTTTGAGGGAAATGCCAACAGTCTGGTTATAATTCCAGGGAACCTTCGTCCCACAGCGTGACTCACTCAACATAAGATGTAAAATGCTGTCAAGAAACATCAGGTGATGAAAATGACCAAAATAGGCTGTGAAATGACCGAAAGGACACTCGAAATTATCAAAATGAATCAAAAATGACCAAAAACTATGCGAAAAAACAAGCACAAGGCGATAAAAATGACCAAAATCACGCTCAAAATGAACAAAATAAGAGGCAAAATGTTATTATGCAGTTAAAAAGGTCGTTATCGTTGCACATCGTTCCCACACAACATGATAAATGAGCAAAATAAGACAAAATAACCAAAACCACACCCAAAATTACCACAATGAGATGACAAATACTAAAAGAACACTCAAAAAGATCATTACAAGTACAAAATGATTACAACTATACTAAAAAAAAAAAAACACCACAAGGAGATGAAAATGACCAAAACAAGACACAACGACTAAAAACATCCAAAAGGAACAAAATAAGACACAAAATCTCCCCAACAAGACGCAAAACTTTGTTATTAAACCATTCAGTGGCCACCATCACTGATCATTCCCGTACATGTCTGTCTGCAGGGACGTCCTTCATCTTGTGCTGTGGTCTGTTGCACCTCATTATCATTCTGCTGTACGGAACAAATGCTTTGGTCCCAACGAGTCACGAAATGACCCCAAAAAATAAATCAATCCCTGGAGCGTCTGCAGGTCGTCGACTGCAGAGCTTCTCACACGTCTTCTCATGTTAAACCTTTGTTGCTTCTCTTCACAGTGGCTCCTCATTAAATCCAGGTTTCAATTTAAATTTGTGACTCTGAGGGCTTCAGGATTGCTCAGGACGACTCGTATCTTTGGATCAGGGTTCGCCGGCTGTTTTCCACACAGTCTTTAAAGACCAAACATTTGAACTCTCTCCCTTCAAGCTGAAGATCTGCCGCCTCTTTTTGAAATAACGCCTCTTTTCGGACTTACGCTTTTCCCACGTTTGAGTTTTCTGTCATTCGAATTACTCTGTGACTGTTCTTGAATTTACTTGTGTTCAGAAATTGTCGAAGCAATGGGTAGAAAACTGTCTATATTTCATTAGTACTGAACTGTGTTGTGGACTTTCTTGGAAACTTTCTGCCCGATGAAGATCTGACACCTAAAATGTGTCGTTAAAACTGAGTTTAAGTGATGAACAGCGCTCGGATTCTTTGGTTTTCTTTCCTTACAATCAGAACCAAACTGTGCAGGATTTTGTAGGCAAACAGCAGCTCAAGTGTGAATGAAATAGAAAACATGTGAGAAGGTGGTTCATGTTTTTATCTGATAACATCAGACGGAGACTCACTTCCCTCCAGTTCACTTTCAAGCCTTAATGTCAAAGTAGCAGCAAAGAATCAGGATGAGAAACACAAAGCTAATCAACAATTAGCCTCAATGGCTATTAATTTGCTCATTGATTTTTGTCATCGATGAATCGTCGTAACCCTTAATGTCAGTTTCATTATTTCTCCAGAAACTGATGTGAAGTGATTAGCTGATGAGTTGTTTGACAGAAAATCATTTTCATTAATTAAACTGCCAGAAGTTGACTAGAAAGAGCTTCCACAGTGTGAATATTTAAGTTTTCTGTGGCTGTAAACTCAAACTCTTTAAGTTTTTAACCAAACACTTGTTGGCAGCAGCCTAACGGGACTTCTGTCAGTAAATCCTCCGACACATTAATGTATATGTAGGAAGGGTCAGAACTTTAGCTCTAAATTAGTTAATCTCCATAATTAATATTGCTGTAGGGTGTTAGCTTTAATATTTATAAGACTGTGAGGTTTTAGCTGTAACAATACATCAGATAAGTTCATTTCTATGATAATAATACTGTAAGGTCTCATATTTATAAGGTAAAGTAGATCATTTTTGTGGCAATTTAATCCCTAATATGTAAATTACTCAAATTAAGCAACACTAGAGGGTCTTAAATCCAGTATTTTAACTTTTTAGGTTACTTCCAAAACATTAATCATCTTTTTTTTTTTTACTAGAAAGTTCTGAATGTGTTTCCACGTG